ACTGTTTTACATCCTCCATCATATTACATACAACACATGCAAGTAGAGACTTAGTTTCTTCTAAGTTTGTCAAAAGCTGTTATTAAATGAGTGCAGTTCTCATTTATAAAATTCTGATTTAGGTGCAAATTATGGTAAGAGGCGTGATGTAGTTGACCATCATCTAATAATTCTAGAATCCTAACTACCTCAAGGCCATGGCTCTTTTCTTGCTTATGAGTGATATTTGACCACATTAAACCAGGAATTCCATTTGGTTGCCACTGGTACAAGGGGAGTAGTTTCACTTGTTTCTTAGTCAAGGAACCTTCAAGCATTTTAAGTATTGCTTTTTCCAACTAGGCTTTTTAAAAAAGGCTGACTTGATGAAAGTAGTTGGGTAACATTATCAAATGCTGGCCAGTGTGAAAATACTTCATCAACAAGATTTAAAATATGTGCTAAGCACAACACATGGAAACTGTTAGCAAAAACATATATGACTCCTTCTCTTCTCCCCTCAGCTATGGGTAAATAGCAGGACAGACTGGGTTCTATAACTTTGGATGGCAACTGGTCTATATATAGAAAGAAATGGCAACCTACTGTGGGAAAAATCTGTCTTGTCAGTCATGTATCGAAAGATACATGATCGCCTAAGAATGTATCATGCATGGCACATAATTGACTGTTTGGATATATGATTTTGTATTTCTTTGTAGTGATTTTTATCTGTTTCTACTAAAGCCACATAGATAATTAAAAGTTAATGATTTTTTATATTTTTATCAAAAATATTTCTTTAAAAAAATGAATCTTGAAAATTAAAAATTATGTCTATGAGTACGAAAAATACAACTTAGCGCTTGCAGCTCAAAAACCCCCGAAACAAATCTGCCTCGTCAGTCATGTATCGAAAGATATATGATCACCTAAGCATGTATCACGCATGGCACATAACTGACTGATAGATGGCCCATTGTAGCAAACTAACCTCATTCCCTTCGTATTCCATTGATGAGATGTAACTTTCACTCAGAGCTTCTTCTCAGGAGCCACTACTTTGTGGAACTGACTCCCAAGAAGATGCTTCCCCACTCTTAATCTGTTCAAGTCTAGGTTTAACCATTATCTTTCCCATAGCTGGTGATCCAATAAAGCACCACATAATAATTATGTTTCTTTTTTTAATCAATCTTCCCCAAGACAGGTTGCTTTTTTTAGCACATAATAGTAAATAGAGTGGTCTGGAAATGTGAGTTCTGCTTACATCAGGGCTGGTATTTACTATGCTCAAATCCCCCAACCCTTACCCTGATTGAGGACCATGGGCAGTGCTTTGTAACTTCCTTATTAACATTTGCTTTTTTCTACCTACATTTATATACATTACACTAAAGCCACTAGGACGCAAGGAGTTACTGAATGTTAGAGAATATGAGAAAAAAGAAGCAAGAAGCTGGAAGAGAGTTCCACAAGCGGGAAGTGTGATAGAAGAAACTGTTAGCATAGAAATTACGGTTACATATAGCCATTTCAATGGTAAAGTCTAGGTACCATAGCGGAAAGTTCATCAGAACGATTGCTATGAAAATATTTATAGAAAAGGCACAGGGAAGTTATATTATGATGGTGGGAAGAACTGAAGTCAAGATGCCAGGTCAAGACCATTAATATTGCAGATTCTTCCTTGGATTTTATCAAGTATTTCTTAATATATAGCAGGAGCACCAGACCCAGTGTGGCAGCAATATTCTAAGCAAGCATCAATGGTAGACTTATAAATATATAAGATAGATTCTGGTGGGAAAAATTATCTAGCACAACATAGTGAATCAACTTTCTTAACTACAGACTTAGCAATTGATTCAATATAATCTTTCCACTTCATGTCAGCTGAAAACATTAGCCTGAGAAGGCATAATGAGGCAATCTCCTGGAGGTTAGCATCAGCCATGCTGATGGAAGCTGAAAGGGTTCTCTCAGAAGATTAAAAGAGAGCAGTTTCTTTTTTTTCAGGCATTAGAATTAACAAGCCATTCCTTGCCCCATTTAACGACAGATTGTAGGTCATTTTTTTAGATCAGCTGCCAAATTGACCTTATCGAACCGATCAGACTTGCTATTAAGACGGGAGTAAATAGTTGTGTCATCAGCATAGATACCGAGTTGAGAACTGCTGACACCAGGAAGGTCATTTATGAAAATTATAAAAAACATAGGCTCAAGGATAGAGCCCTGGTGAACACCTGCATTTATGCAAAAAGATCTAGAATAGTAGCTATTCAAGACAACTTTCATCTTGTGATTTGATAAGAAAGACTGAATCTGTTCAAAAATCCATCTAGAAATACTATAACTTTTCAACTTTTGAAGAAGACCAATATGCCAAAAACTATCAAATGCCTTCAAGATATATAAAGCAACAGCCCGAGCTTCACCATTCTTATCTAGACTGTATCAGCAATAATCATTAACATATCAGCAGTACAGAAGCAAAATCCATATTGCTTATCTGAAAGAAGACCCTGCAATGTGAGATGCTTAACCAATTCCTAGTTAAGTAGAGCCTCTAGTACTTTGCCAATAAGTGGTAAAAAGATCAGATGGTAGCCTGAGTTCTTAAAGATCAGAACTACAGAAGAGGATTTCCAACAAGTAGGAAAGCAAGGAGCACCAAGCAGTTTTTGTAAAGTTGAGAGAGAACAGGTGACAGTTCCCAAGCACATTTCTTGAAGACTATAGCAGGGATATCATCAAGTCCACATGCTTTGAGAAGATCCAGTTTAGAGATGATAGCAGAAACTATAGACAGGGTTATATTCATAACAGTAAATAGAGACTCAGTTCTAAGTGGAAAGTCAGGGAAAAGATACTCCATATGAGTCAAGAGTAGAATTTGAAAATAATTTATGAGCAAGAAGTTCTGGTTTATCATTAGATGTTAAAACCTCAAATTGTGTAAAGAGGTGGAACAGAAAATTTACTCTTATTTAACACACTATAACTGCGCTGCCAGTAATCATGAAAGCCAAACTTGTTAGAGTCTATACAGTGGCTCATTTAATCAGTAAACAGACTTAGCCAATTTGAGGACATGTTTACAATCATTTTGAGCAGTCACAAATTGGTTTATGGTTTTTCAGTAAAATATTTTATAGACTACAAATAGGTTTATGGTTTTTCTGTAAAATCATACAGCGGTCGTCAATGAGGTAAAACACTGCTAAATAGTTTTTTTTGTGACACTCTGTTGAGAGTAAAATACTTAACCTGAGCTTGTTAACCTTTTGGAAAAGAAACCAATAGGAATGGGTATCCCTTCTAATACTTGATGTAATGCTGTACCAATTGCATACTCGTTACTCATCATCATCATCATCACCACCACCACCACCATCATCATCATCATCATCAGTTCCATGATCAGATGGAGCCATATCGTCACTGTGCAGCTGAGCACTTCACCAGTTACCTCTTTTATCTATCAGAGTAATACAATACAGTAATTCAATAACTCTTAAATTAAGAATAATTTTAAAAAAAACAACACACATTGGGTGCAAATTGTTCTATGACATCAAACGAAAATAATTTTAAAAAAAGAGCAATTAAAGTTAAATTTATTATTTAACTAAAAAAAATATCTCTAATAATGCAGCATAAAATTAAAAAAATTATTAATTCTATTAACTTATTAAGTTTCATAAAAATAAAATCGTATAGAATAAAAAATATTAAACTAAGAAGAAGGCTATCGTGCTTAAATGAATGTTATTTTTATTAAGTTTTAAAGTAAGAAGTAATCATTAATTTTACAAAATCCTTTAATTTACTTACTAAGACTTCGAAACATATCTCAATTGGATTTTCATATTTAATTTTATTTTTAAGTATTTTAATTTTTAACTTTGTTCTTTACATTTTTTGTCTAAAAATAGCTGTTCGAAGAGTAAAAAACGTGCCAATATTTTAGATAACTAAAACTTTATTTATATACGGAAATTATTATTTTTTTTATTTTTTTTTTTTAACTCGGATTAGGTTTCGAGAGCTATTATCTTTCATATAAAACCCAAATTTAAATTAAAAAAAGGCATAAATTATCTAAAATGCGTTTTTCGGGTTTTCCTGGGAGTCCGTGGCGGTACCTCTAAGTTTTTATCTACAAAGAAAAAATATACATAGATAATAAAATTGATATTTTTATCTTCTTATTGAACAATGGACATTAGATTAATCCATTGTTGAGTACTGAATTTAAATTATTTTTACACATTTTCGTTGTTCTCCATAAATAACTAAAAAAAAAAAAAAAATTACAAGCTAACAGTGGGCTGCGTAACAGTTACGCTCCGAAGGTTTTTTTTTTTTTTGTAGTGGGGCTACTCAGATAATTGAGGGGACATTGTAGCTTACTGTAGTGTACATACATGCTTACTGGTTGTGTTTCTAAGTTTGAAATTTAATGAAAGATCATTTATTTTATTTATTTAGGTACACTAAAACAGCCACACGAAGAAAAAAAAAAGTAATATTTATTAAAATACGTTAAAAATTGTCAAAATGCTTTTTTTTAATTAATGTGTAGTCACAGACTAGTTAAAAAATAGGAAATAGTCTTCACATTTTTTTATCCAGTAAAAAGTTTAACTTTTAATCTTTTTGTTAGGTTATTGGTTTGAAACGAGATTTTTATTTACGTTCGCGCGGCTCGCCTAAGGCTTTTTTTTTATCTAATTAAGATTGTAGTAGTTGGTTTGGTTCAATACCCTTTTAGTTTTAGAATAGATAAGAAATGCGTTGTTTCGATTTAGGGCCAAATATGGGCAGCTGAATCTTAGATAAGTTTATAAATGAACAAACCAATTTGTACCCTTGTAAAATCCGCGATGGAAGTGAAAGTTGAAAATGTCATTGAAAAAAAAAAAAGATAAAAATAAATAAATAAAAACAGAACAAGGGAGAGAACTCCGTGAAGAGTACCTCATTGTCGCTACAAGTGTGATGGACAATTCTTTATGGTTTACTTAGCTCGGTCGGACCTCTCCGAAATTATTTTAATTCCTGATTTTGTTTTTCAGTTATGCGATTTAAGGTAGGTCATTATTTATACCTTTTATACTAGAAATATAAGAATAGTCTACCTTTAACGCATTCAAAGACAGTAGAAAAATGTGAAAATTCGCCGTTAAAGCCTACAGCTGTATTTGGAAGGCATACGATTCCTGATGATAGCCTCCTTCTCTATTTATTTTTCTATCTGCTCCTACTCCAGAAAGAGACGTAATGAAATGATTTTAATGTCTAAGATTTATCAGGAATAAGGTGTAAGCAGTTGATAAATAAAAGAATGTAGATATGTCAAATACTACCTGCATTCACTATAGGCTACCTGTCTGTAGCAGCAGTGGCCATATTGTGTTCGATGTCACAGTCTTTATTTATTTAAAAAAAACATCCTTTCATGTTTTTAAATGGTTGGATTTTATTCGTATATTAATTTTTTAAGTTAATAAATATTCTCCTAAACTTGCTAATGTTTGCATTGTACAAATCTGTCTTTTCGCTCGTTATTAATTACTTAATGTACATTTTTAATTTAAAAATGTATTACACTTGCTTACTTTCTCTATAAAATTAAAATATTTCCCTTGTATTTTTTATCTGTGGTCTTTGAACTTGTAACTTTGATTTCTTGCCTCATTTACTTACTTACTTTATAAATATAGATGTTTATTAAGACAAGATTTATTTAATTCCTTCAATTTTCGCCACTTTTTTTATGTCTGCAGCAGACCACTCCTTTTCTTGTGTTCAACACGGTGATATAACTAAATTGTATTGTCATAAAACAGGTCAATATTAGTAATTATAAAGGTATATTTTCATTTTAAATTGATATAATTATCTGTATAAGGATTTATCTTTTTATATTGAAAGGTTATTTTAATGCGGAATTGTTTACTTAATCCTTTTTTTCTTTAGTGAGATAATCTTTATTCTTTCCGTAAAATCGTCCATGATGCATCGAGATGTCGTCTGCTTCTCATTTCTTTTCTCATATTTTAATTTTTCGCTCTTAATTTACTCATTTTCTTCCTCAAATAATGGATATTAAACTCAGTTTTAAATCGTTTTAACGTTTATTTATTTATTTTCTAATTTAAAAAACGACTTGTTTAAATTTGCATTTATTATTTTTTAAAATCCAGAAAAAAAAGAATCCAGTCAAGTGTCGATATTTTTTGTTGATAAAATTTTCATTTATTTATTTATTGATGTGGTTTCTTTTGTAAATAATTATTTCATGGTTGAAAAAATTATTTATAAGTAAAAAAACAAATCAAGAAAGGATTTTTAATGAATCAATCTTCTTTTAAAAGATTTTATTTTTATTTTTTTGTCTTTATAAAAAGAAAAAAGCAAGACTGTAAAATAGAATTTGTCTGTCTTCTTACATAGCAAATAATACGTCTTCTTACTTTTTAATTTTTTATCTAAGAAAAAAAAACATGGATTTTAAAATAACCGATTAAATAAATAAAAAATTCATGATTAAAGATGAAAACTGGCAACTTTGTCTTATAATGCACTTCGTAAAAAAAAAAAAGATCAACATTTTAGACATTTATTTTCACTTTTTCTTTTCGATATTGTGTTCTTTTTTTTTCATTTGTCAACTTATTTATTTATATTTTCCTGAATAAAAATATTGATCTCCCTAAGTAAGATAGTGTTAAATATTTTAAGACATAATTTACATTTACAATTACATTTACAAATACAATTCACTATGTTATTAATTGAAAACCAATGACCAGAACCTAATGAACGATATATTCCGCATAATTTTAGTTTTTAGCAGTAAATAAATAAAACCCCATCGAAAGTTTATGAAAAGTATAAAAAAAGAAAGTATTTTCTTACTGTTTCTTCTTAAGAAGTAAATTTTTAAATTAATCAATTATGGCTGAATAATTATTGTTTATGATTAATGAAAAAAATTATATTCTAAAATAAACAATAGTGTACACTACACACCAGTAACTTATAGCTAATCAGTGGTGAGTGTCCACCATTGTTTGAGAAAATTTATGTTATGATGAACTAGTTTGACTTAAAAACAAAAAAAAATCAACATGCTAAAGGTAATTTTACAATTGCATGTTTCTAGGATAATTTCTACTACGTCACTAGAATTCGCCCACCTGTATGTAGTGGACTCTTCTGGTGACAGGAAATGTGAGAGTGTGACATATAAACATTTACATACACGTGTGTGTCAAAATAATAAAGAATTTTGTATATCCACAATATAATAAAATAAAATTTATTTAATTAATAATGGGAATTTCGTAAGAAGAAAATTCTTTGTTAATTAAGATAAGTTTTTATATTTCTTTCTTAATTAAAATTAAGATGAGGTTATTTTTTGTTTAATTTTTAATCTTTTTATTTTTTTTTTTTTTAAATTAAAAAAAAAGTTTTTTTCTAACTTTGAGTTTTGGCGGTCAAAAATAATAATTTAATGTTTCTTCATTGTACATGTTTGAATGGGGGGGGAAAAAGCCATTAAAAAATTGGCAATACCAATTTCATCTCACTAATAGTGAGATTATCCATTTTTACACGGGAAACATTTGGCATTAACCAAACAACATTAGCGTTGGTTGAAATTTATAAAATCCTTTAACAGTTTTTCAGGAAATTAGACTTATCAAGTTCACTGTCTTGCTCTTTCTTTCTAGTATTGATGGGCGTGCGTTTCCTTCCAAACCTTTTTGTTTAAGAAAAACGCTTATAAAATAAGATTCAAACGTCGATCAACTAGTAACTGTTCTTGTTTTTAACAATAAAACTATATCATTGTTTTTCATTAAATTCAATGTGTAGCTTAGTGACTTTAAAAGCTATGTTGACCAAGACATTGCTTTGAAACTTGTCTATAATTTAACAATCATAAAGTATGCAATATAACATTGAATTTGTCAGTTGTGCTTGAAATCAGTATTGTTCTTCTCTGGACATTGTCTTTAATCATTTGATATCTTTTTGTCAAACTAGCATGAAAAAATAACCTTTTAAAATCATTCATTGAAATAATAGCAGATTTTAGTCTTCTCTCACTTAGGGCTGTAGCAGAGACAAATGTTTTTTTTATTTGGTGAAGGGGGGGGGTTAAAAAATTTAGAATTTAGCCTTATCAAAGGCTGCCAACATGGTTAGTGGCAAGAACATTTCAATTTTCCAGTACCTCCTTGCTTTGACAGTTTTTTCTTTGTTGTATTTTGTTAAAATAAAACCCTGTTAAAAAAAATAAAAATATAAAAAAAAAAACTACAATTGGTAAAATTTTGCTATATCAAAGTACAGAAAACCAAAAATATTTCATAAAGATAAAATAATATCTTATTGGGTGTGTTTAAAAAGTTTAGAATATTTTTGTACATTGACATTTTTTCTTTTCTCTAGGACCTAATAAGAAATAACTACTTAAAGTATTTTTCTGAGATGAACTACCTATAAACATTTTGAAATCGAGTAAAAAAAAAAAAAGGAAAGAAAAAAAAAAAGTGCCCAATTAGTTCAGCAAATCACAACCAACAAATATCTCATTATTCAAAATGCTAAGAATAGTTGTTTACACGAGAAAGGGATCCAGTTTCAGTTCAGAGTTAAGCACACATAAACTATATACTCCTGCTGGTAATGGGGTGAATATTTAACAACCAAGAAGTTTCATGCTTCATTCCTTGAATAGAGTTAAAATCTGCTGAGGCTAAGTAAAAAAAAAAAAAAAAAAAAATGTAACTATTAGTGATAAAGAAGAGAATTTGAACCCAAGTAAAACCAGACCATGTGTTTTGAACATTGAAGACATTAACAAAAACATCAATGCTCTCCTAAATTTTAGTCATATTACTTTCAAAATGAAAATCATGTTTATGATGGTTAATTATCAAATCTCTTCCTGTATATGTGTCCAGAACAACAAAATTACTGCATAGATTGAGCTAAAATCAACACATGCTTTTTGAATACAAGAGTCTTGTACTAAATTGCTACTGGGAAGAAAAATTATATTTTATCATCTATCTGATGAATTAGCACTATTAGAATGACTGTGACAATCATTTCTGTGGAAATTGTAAGTTTTGTAATATAAGAATAGAAGAAAAGTTTGCATAGTAATGTTTTTTTTCAATATTCTGTGCAGTGGTATTTTAAAAATGTATCTACTAATAAAGCAAAAATTGAAAGTTAACAATTTCTGAAAATATAGTAAGTAATATATTTATAATGATCTGTGTAAAATACTTTCTTATAAAATACTTTTAATTAAATAACTGTTTCTGTTAGACATGGGCATTGGAACAAGAACATTCTACCCCACCCCCGCCAAATTATATAATGGGTTCAATTTGGAATTCCCTGTAGGTTACTTGGATTAATATACACCAGATGAAGGCCTGAGGATACAACGGCCAAAACATAGTGGTAACAACAAAGGTGCTGACAATAGTGTGTATAATAAATAACTGTTGTCTACTGTCACTACTTCTGTGATATCACCTCTGACTACTACTTATTTAATAGCCTTGTTCTGCAGCAGATGCTAAAACTGATTGTAAACAAACAGGAGTCAAAGATGCTGGTTGTTTGGCACAAGACATCATGAACTGGAGTTATAGTTCAAGTTATTGGATGTTCTTTACTATTTAGTATGATCAGAAAGCAACAAAGATAATATTATTACATTACAACTATCAACCAACCAAGGTTGTGCCTATTTAGGCAACAACAAAAAAATAGTAGTTATAATAGTAAATCTAATCAAACAAACTTTTACTAATATTAAGATTTCTTTGTAATTATTTCAAAGTTATAAATTCAAATATACTATATTCATTTTTTTTTAAACATTAGTTAATTTATCATTGCTTTTATGTTTTAATAAATCTCCTGTCTGAGTCCAATATTTCTACTAGTTCTGTTGTAAATATTTAAAACCAGATCTGTCTCTTATTACAAGTAGTACAAAGTATAATGATAATTTTCTCCTCAGAATTGATTAATTCATATATCAGATCTTTTCTCTTTTAATAAGTGTGGCATTCTTTAGATTGAAGTTGTGGTTGAACTTATTTCTGTATATGACTAATGCATTTGATTAAATTGTTATAAGATCCTTTTTGTGTTCATAAATATGCTTTTTTTTTTTTTTTTTAATTTCTGCAAGTTTTCCCGCTATTATTGAATCTCGCCAAAAATCTCCTTTCCTAAAAGATTTACTTCTTTCCCAAATCAACATACATGACCATAAAAATTTAAAAGATAGTTAAACGAAAACCTTCTATTATTTAAAATAAATAAATACATAAATGAATTTCTCAAATTAAAATAAAATAACAAATAATAATTACATTTAAAAAATTCAACAATAACATTTACTCACTTTCATTTATTAGGCATTAAATTATATCATTATCCTTTATAGTTTACCTTGCCTTGCACAGTTGGCTTGAAGAATATTTATGATCATTCTTAAATTTAAAAATTTTGAAAATCTAACAATATTCTCACTTTTTGTTTATAAATACTTGTTAAAAAATACATTTGCCTTGATAAAGTCCATCAGAGGACAAAACATTGATAAAGAAAAGTTTTTCTTTTGTCTTTATTCATATTGTCTCTTTACAGATATATTTTTATTTGAATTTTTACATATTAAGCTAATATTATTTCCAGTATTATTGATAATTGTTAATAGCATTAATTGGTCTTTTTTAAACTGAAGTTAAAAAATCCTATTATAGAAAATGATATTGTGAATTCCATTTCTTTAAGATTTTTTTTGGCAGATCATCTCCTTTCATGTAAGTGGTCAGCATCATCAAATACTATGTACCATTAAGAGCAAAAATATGTAAAGCTAAGTCATGATCAGTGTTAACTTTGATGACTAACCAATTACTTGTACTTGTAATATAGACGTAAAGTTATTGTTTCAATCAATATAAATGCATGTAAGCACTGTATATAATTTAGCAATATTAGATTAATTATGAGGTTCATTTTACTGTTTGTCACAGCTCCCCAAACTTTACATTTAAAAGGGAATCATAAAATCCTTGGCCACCAGTTTCTAACTGCTAAGCTGATTTTTATATGTAGAACATTGTTTATTTATTATTTTTATTCTATGATTTTCTTTTCTAGAACTAGCCGTATCTGGCTGGGTGTACAATAAGATGGAAGTATTCAACAAATTAAAAACTGCTGTAACCAATGTGTTGCCAGGAAATCCTTTATCACGAGATTTTGAAGTTCTTAATCAGATTGCCAGTGCAGGACCTGGACTTTTGTGGAAAGTATACAATGGTGTTAAGAAAACCACAAAGCAGGTAAGCATCAAATTCTAAAAAAAAAATATTTTTTTCCACTGATTTTCTTTGTCTTGGACAAAATGTTTTCTTTTTTTTTTTTTTTTTTTTTTTTTTTAAAGATTTTATATCAGCAAAAATAGAATGTAGCATACATCCCAGGAAATTTAGTTTTTGGTACATGTGATTCTAATGACTACATTTAGATATGTTTTATCCAAGAAAATGTCTCACAACTGTAGATTCAGATTTTCTAAGCTGTTGTATGGAAACTCAATCCTAAACCTATAAAAGACTATTGTCAATAACAATATCTGGCAGTTAGAATATATATTTAAAAAGAAATTCAGGAATTTGTTTTATTTACAGAAAAATAAGATTTGTTGAGTTCATGAACATTAAGAAATAGAAGCTTAATGATGAATATCAGTATCACGACGGTTTGACTTTACAAAGATTTAGGAAGGTCTACCAAATCTGTTGCAGTTTTCTTTTTCATTGCAGCTGCAAGGGAAGGTCGAAAACTAGTTCATCTGATAGAACATGTTACTATGTCACTCTGTTGACAATCTATTATCCACTGAAAGTAGTTGATTTTATATGAGGGACTCATTTAAAGAGTCTTTGTATCTCTTCTAATCCTAACCTTTCTCCACAGAGACAAATTTACTGAAAAGGAGTCTTTGGAAGATGATATACTTCTATCTTTAACACATAACCTATCAATCTTCTAATGTGTTTTGGTGTTTAGCTTCAATGCTTGTGGTTCTAACCAACTTGAAGTCTTTAGTAATAGTGATGAAGTCACTCTAGTGTATATTGATATTGATGCTGTAGCAATGCACAGATTGTGTTAGATAATACAATAATATACAAGTTTGCTTGATGCTGTTTGCAAGTGGTGAAACTGCTTGAGGAGTTGCTGTTTGACTGCTAGAGTTGGATAGCAATGGTTAGAAATTTGAGTATACATTCCAACATTTTCAAGAATATCCAGAGACCAAACCTGTTTCCTGTGTATGATATCTTTGTCAGCTCAACATATGTGACATACATCCCTTTGATTTGTTTACAGCATTTTCCTTTGCTTTATCAAAAAGCATGTTTAAAGCCACATCAGCAATCTAGCAATTACTCACCTATTTAACAGAATTCTCATAGATATTGTGCTTGCACTCAAAAACAGAAAGTCATCCTAATAGTTTGAGCAGTCTGATTTTACTCCTTTGTTTTTGTGAAGAGTAATAATGTCTTGAAATAGTTTGCCCTATTCCCATCAGCCGACAAGGAGTAAATGGAGTCTTACATGCAATGCTAGATCTCTGGAGAGATGCTGTCAACACCTGTGGCTTTACTTTTGTTGATCAATTGCTTTCACATTTTCTTGTGATGTTAGTGCTATATCCAATTCCAGTTTTGCTGGGGATTGTTGCAATTGATTGAAATATGTAATTGGCACTGAAAAGTGTATGAAAGTGCTATAGCCACCTTTCTTGGTATGCATCATAATTCCATCCAGGCAATATAATGGGCTCTTAAAAATGTGTATTGCCTTTAGAATCTGGTAAAACCGCTTGTTATTACTGAATTCTGTACAATGTTAGACTGTATTTGCAAGGTTAGTCCAAAACTCATATAGTGCAGAGACTGTATTGGAGGGTTTGACATACTTGATGTTTTCCTGTGTTAGCATGAAAGTTGGACGAGATGTACCTGTTGGGAAAAACATTTTTTTTCTTGGATCCATACTTAGATTTTTGTGGAAAAGCTGAGGACATTTTTATACATTTCAAAGATGGCAAATTTTATGTGTTCTAAGAGAGCTTCAGGAAAACTATCTTTAAAACATTTGGCAGCTTTCAGTTGAGACTCCAGCATCAATAAGAATTCTGCCCTAATTTCATCATTTTGGAAGCAAACGCTCCAAGGATCTTGTGTTCTCACTCCTTTTTAGAGTGTCTATGAATATTTTATTGACATCATTTTCCTGTGAAGCAACATGCAAATATATATAATATTTTATATAAAAGTTTGAGAAATCAAATATCATGTGAGATTAATTACTGAGATACTCACATGAGAAAAGTATACTGTTTCAATCCCTACTCAAATGTAATATATATATATATATATATATATATATATATATATATATATATATATATATATATATATATATTAAAGAAAATGGATTAAATCTGACATATTTTATTTTTTAATTTATTTTGTTTAAACATTATTTTTGATCAATACTTGTATTTGAGTAGAAGCTTTGTTTTTTAATTAAACAATATTTTTTATCCAACTACAGCTACCAACCTGAATATTTGAGAAATATATTTTTCTGACAAGATTTCTCAAATATTCAGGCCAGTAGATGAAGTTGGATAAAAAATATTGTTTAATTAAAAAATATCAAAAATAACATTTAAACAAAATAAATTATATACTTCAGTCATATGGTAGCACTAACAAATAAAATATTTATCTCCTGATAGAGGGTGGTGGAGCTTTGAGCAGCAGCTCAAGAAAAGTGACTTGCTCACAAGAATTCAAACTAATATCTTTTTATTTGACACAACTCTTTCTGTCATATATTTATGTTTGTAGTGTGTGATGAATGTATCAACTAATTTCTTCAAAGGTTTTTACATGATTCATTTAAAAATCAGAGTTCTTGAATAAAGAATTTTGTGTAAGTTGTATCCCAGTGGCAGACTAGCCAGGGTGTCAGCTTGTTATGAAAATTAAATTATAGTATTGTAGTTGCGCAAGGGAACTCTTTGCCTCCAGACAGTCAATATTTTTAAACCCAGTCCACTACTAGTTTATCCCTTAGAAATATATGCATTGTTATGATATTATGCATAGTTATGATATTATGCATAATGATGTAATGAAAGGGGAAGCTCAAGTATTAAAATGTAAGTGAATGACTATTATTTTTACTTTAAAGAAATGCTAGGTGAAAATTTTATTATTTATTTAAGAAAATGTGGAATTTAAACCTGAATAAAGTTTAGTAATAATCTACAATACCCACTTGATGAAACTCAGCTCTTTGAGTTTCCAACCAACATTCACCTTTTGCTAGCCAGATGTGAGGTGGTTTTGATTATCATACAGAATTTATTTCTCATTACAAGTCAGTAATTTATTTTAAAAAATTCATTCCTTTGACAGAAACAAGCATAATGTAATTTATTTTTTTGCTGTTTGTTTTATTCAATGTTTCATAAAGTACACATTAAGGAAATGTGTATCTGTGCAGATTCAATTTCATTGCATGTGTTGAACTTTAATGCCACTGTCTTAAAGCTTGTTAGATTCAACACAAGTCTTATAGGCTTACCTTTATGGAGATGCAACTTTGTGTGTTTCATTTTACTTGAAAATCTCTAGAATCACATTTGAACAGTACAATCCCTAACAATCATCCTTTCGACTTGTCACAGTGATTACACTTGTTATTGCTGTAGGTATACTTGGCTGAAAGTTATCTAATAGTGAATAGGTTGTGTCAGTTTCATGTTATTGAAACTTCTTGCTGTTTTCTTAATTTGATAGAGAAAATTGAAAATGATAAATTTTGGTTGCATTAATTATACATTGTTCCACAGATAATATGCTGCTCAGCAAATTTTGTAGCTGATCCTTTTGTGATTGGTGATATAACATTATAAATTAAGTTCTAGTTATTCTTTCCATGTGCAAAATGTGGTTGTTTTCTCTAAATGATTTCCCCATCAATATGTAAGAATTAATTTTTATATAATAAGTTTAACATTTTGAAAAATAGAAAAATTGTTTGCTGACTTGATTTTTGTTTATTTATTTATTGACTTTTATTCTTGTCTAGAAGTAAAAGGTTTGTGTTATTTAGAAGTGGACATATTCCAAACAAATGAGCTGGTGAAGTGGGTATTGTTAAATCAATATTACTAAGTTATTTGGATTCATAGCTGTCTGCTCTTAGAAGACAATACTAGATGAAAGTAACCAATCAACTTACTAATTTTTCTCATAAAAATTAAAAAAAAAAAAAATCATAAAATATATTTAAAAAAATTTAACATTTTAAACTAGTTTCTGATATTTTTAAAACATTAAAATATATTTAAACCTATAAAATAGCTCCTGATATTTTTCTCTATTATTTTGGTTTGTTTTTAACAGGACAATAGGTCACCAGATTGTAGAGTCTGTTATAATACTGAATATGTTAACTTCATCCTTATTCATTAAAATTTAAACTAAATTGTTTAGTTATTGTAGAATATGTAATAATTATGTGATAAATAATTAATACTTCTTGAGAAAGTTCAATATTCAAAATATTTAATCAGTTTATTTTTGCATTCTTATTTTGTTTTGTCTGGAAATCATTTGTTTTTCTAAGAAAATGCAACTGGTATCAGCTCACAGGTTTTGACAATGTTGTGTATTCATCAAGCTATATAGGCATAAAGGGAAATGCACCAAGAAGTAAAATTAGTCAAAATAAAATTCTTGCATGTTAATTAAAACTTTCAATATTGCAGAAAAACAAATATCAGATAGTCTTTTACAAGTAAAATTAATGTTAAATGCAAAAATTAAGAACATTCAGCAGTTCAAACATGGGCTGCACTGTTGTTATCTCATTCTGTGCCAGTAGCTTTCTTAGAAATGAATACTAGGAGGTGCTGAAAGTTCTCAGCCCCCCCCAATCAGTATTCTGTTGAAATACTGATTTGGGGAAGTGGGTCAGGTCAAGATATTTTCTTCTAATAATCTTCACTTGTACCTGCTAAATCATAACAAAAATTCTCATCAGTATTAAAGGCTTTAACTTCAGTTCACAATGAAATATATCATGCATGATTTTATGTATTGTTTGTTCATTTTGAAATAAATTAAATCCTATTCCTTTAAACTCATCTGCTAATTCCAAGAAATTGTCTACCAGTTTGAAATCAAAAAAGCTTTATTTAGACCATTTGGACATAGAGGCATTTATACTACTGCATTGTTAAATATAT